GAACTGCCTGGCACCCAGCTTCGGCCCAGCACAGTTGGCTTAGTATTCAGTACTTAGCTGCTGAACTCTGCCTTGTTTTCTATTAGGCATACTGTTATGCTCTCATTTGGCAAAACACTTGCTCATGCAATAATTTATTTACATAGTTCTGAGTTTTACTTTTCTTGAAGTCAAAAGCATTGTACTTAAAATTTTGGTACGAATAAAAAATTAGTTCCCAATACTTACTTGCTGCTTCTATAAATTTGGAATAGGTATCATATGTGATGACGGGAATGGGTAAGTCTCTGAAATAAAGTTTAAGGGCTCCAGTGATGATGTTGATGTCTGGGTAGATGTTGGCAGATATATCTGCCTTTTCACCATCTGAAAAACAATCAATGGGCCAAGTCCTAATTAGGACCTTATTTCACCAAGTTAAAGCATGCACTGAGCGTTGGACTTACAGAGGGAGAGAACATAACTTGGGATACAAAGTGGAGTGGGGGGAGGGGAAGATGAGGGAGGTGGGGGATAATTGGGTGGGGGACATGGGGTACCAATGCAATTTGTGGAAATGGGCATGCTGCCGGTATGAATCTGGCCTTCACATCTTGGGCATGAGGGCTGACAATCAGCTCTGTATCTCATGAATATTCATAACCAATTAAAAAAAAGCATGCACCAAAAGAAAAAAATAAATAAATAAAAGATCCAACAGTGAATGCTCCCTGACAAGCCTCACCTAACTCTTTCGGCTTCCAATAACAGTGAGGTGTAGGAGATCACAAAAAATGAGTTTGGTAAGAGTAAAGTAGGATCTCAGTGAAAGAGTAAGGTAGGATCTGAGTGAAAGTGTGGGCAACAGGGTAGTGAAATAGACTTGAAATAGTTCTTTGGATCCCAGCCCCTAGTAACTTACTAAATGGAAATTTAAATTTACCACAGTAATTTGTATTATAGACACAAAGTTTCATCGTAGAATAACAATCTAATTTGAAATAAAAAAAGCACCAAGGATCTCTAATATATATCACCAGCATTCTCTGGACTTGGATTTGAAGGTCACATGCACAAAATAATTGTTGAATATCTTCAGTTTCTATTGTCCCTTTCAAGCTCACTGAAGTATCTTTAAACTCCCCCAGCATCTAGGACTTTAATCTGGGAAGATTTAACCTCACCTCCTGCATAGGTGATGCTATATTTCTTGCCACTTTTTTTTTTTACAATAATTCTCAAGACATTTTTTGACTTTTTGTTTTATCATTAGAAAATAACAGTCCAATTTAACTATCACAGGCTATGATTTTTTTTGGATAAAAAATGTTTTAATCATATAGGAACTATTAGCATAGAAAATTAAAAGAACAAACATCAGCAAATTTGGTTCTGAAGATAAAAAAGCTGCTACTGTATAGAAAATAGTAAAAGCATAGCAGATTTGCCATTTTGATCCCATTATTTACATATTTAGCGAACATTTATTGAGAATCTACAATGTACCAAGCACTGTTAAGCCCTGATGAATCAAAGAAGAGACACTCTCTTCCAATAGTTCCATTTAGATGAGGAGTCAGGCAAGCAACTCAACAATTACAAGGAAATGGGAAGATTACTTTGCTGAAGAAATGTGAAACACCTGAGGGATGGGAGAAAAGGTATGGGAGCTCTTAAGCTCAGGGCAGTCAGGGAAGCTTCATGAAAGAGGGAAGATTTGAGCAACCCCCTGATCAACAGCTGTTTGCCAGGTAGAGATATGAACACATTCCAGGTGGACAGATCTGGGATGGGGGGGCAGGGATCGAGGCACTTCTTCATGACAACAGGTAAGGTGTATTTTAGGATTGCTGGGTTGTAAAGTACAATAGGGGGGAGGATTTAGAGTTCAGCCTGAACTGATGTGGAAGGCCATGACATCAAAGACCTTGTATGCCCTGTGGCAAGGTGGAGACTCTGTCCAGTGGGCTAGGGGTTCCATCCCTTGACTGGCAGCACCAGAATTATTTGGATTGTTCATTAGAGACACAGATCCTTGGGCTCATCCAGCTTTCTGAATAAGTCCTCAGGGTGGGCCCTGGTGATCGGTATTTTTAACAAGTTTCTCAGGTTGGCTTATGCTATCTGACCTAACAGATAATATGCCCTTGAGGATGTATGGCACAATCATAAAGAACAAAAGGGGTTGCCTCCTAAACGTCCATTGGCTTCCCCCGCTTCAGTGTGGGGTCCCCACCTGTTCCTACACTCCCTTCTTTGGAGCCCCAAGAGAAGAGTCATCAGTGGGATCCTGAGAGGGGGATGCAGGAGGGTGATCTGGTGCCATGTGGACTGACTGCCCACTCAGGTAGGATTGAAACTCCCTTCCTCAGGTGGTTACCTGTCCATGATTCCCCCAGAGAGGCAGAACTGTGAGATTTGCAAACCCTTTCTGAAGAACAACTCTCAGTAGTTCTGCAACCCCATTCCCAGTAGGAGTAAAATCTGGTTCCAAGGGACTGTGCTGAGGACAAGTCAGATGGCATTCAGGAAAGGTCAAGGTTACCTCGGTCAAATGCCATTTTTACGTCTTCAATATGTTCAGTGAATCCGGAGACTCTGTAAAGGCCCTCTGACTTTAATCCTGAGAGAGAGAGAGACTGACTTTAGCTTCCTGAAACATCTAAAAAAGACTCTAATTTCATATCTATACTATGTGCTGTCAGGAAATGAGCAAATATAGTCAGCAATCTTATATGTCACACACTGTTGCGTCAGAACTTGGACTTCCATGTCCAGGTTTCCATGCAAGTCTGCAAGTCTGTCTTCGTTCGCTTGTTAGGCAGTGGAGATCTCAATGGAGATCTGGTCTTCTTCCTGCCTGGCTTTGCAGAGTGAACCGATATTTATGGTTCTCATCAACCAGTCGCCTGCTTCTTTTGTTTGTCAGACTGCTGGACACCCATTTCACTGCTATGGGCAGCAACCCAGCTTTCTCCCTGGCATCATCTTAACCCATGTGCTGTATTGTATGTAGCATTGTGCTAGGCACACACACACATACACACGTGTCTAATACATACTATCCTCATTTTATTGGAAAAATCCAAATTTTATGGCCTGTTATGTTTACTCACAAATAAAACTATATTAAATGTTTAACTAAAAATTATTGATTTGTTATACCTTCAGATAACTGATAATACTAACAGATGCCGGAAAATAAAATTCTATTTATTGATTCTGGCAACTTGATCACTACATATTTAGAATAGGAAAAATACTTGGTTTCTGTTCCTAGAACTTATTTAAGATACATCCTAAAACCTAGCCACTTCTTAAAAGTATCAGAAGGGATGGAGTACCAGTTTCAGACCTTGTACGTCAAAAAACTAGCTGCTGTCAAAACTGTAGCTACTGCCAAAATAAGCAAATAGCTTCTGCTGTTGCTGCAGTATACTCTGTCAAACTCTTGATAACTAACATATGTTGCTGTTTCTTCATTTGGCAAATATTTATTGAGTGTGCATTATCTGACATATATAAGGGTCTTTGTCAGGTCTGCATCAGAAATGACTAATACATAGCATGAACACAGCCCTTTCTCTCCCCTGTGATCGTGACAGATGTTCTTAGTTGATCTTTGTTCTTTTTCCCTCTGAGCCCTATAGTGTGCATTATCTGACATATATAAGGGTCTTTGTCAGGTCTGCATCAGAAATGACTAATACGTAGCATAAACACAGCCCCTTCTCTCCCCTGTGATCGTGACAGATGTTCTTAGTTGATCTTTGTTCTTTTTCCCTCTGAGCCCTATTCAGCCTCAACATTCGTCTCACTGCCTGTTGTCCAGGTTGCCACTACTGATCACCTGACCATGAGATGAAACTGTGAGTCATCCTGTTCTAAGATGGTGGCCCACGTGATGGTGGTCTCAGTACAGTCGGAACACGCGCTACAGTAGAGGCGAGGACACAGTGGTTTGTGGGAGCACATAGCGGTGGGCAACTAGCCTGCCTGTTGATAATCAAGGTTCTGGCTGATTTGGTTTCTGGTGAGGCTGTCCTCTGGCTTGTACATGGCCCCCTTCTCTCTGTGTCTTTACATGCCTTTCCTTGGTGTACGTGCATGGACAGCAAGGGAGAGAGCTTGTTGTCTGGTGTCTTGTCTCATAAGGACATGGGTCATATTGGATTAGGGCTCCACCCTTATGACCTCGTTTAACCTTAATTACCTTTTCAGAGACCCCTTCTACAAATACAGCCACAATGGGGGTTAGGGCTTCAACATATAAATTTTGGCGGGGGGGGGAGGGACATAAACATTCAGTCTCTAAAATTCTCTGAGTCATGTTCAAAGAAATCCAGGTTTTCAAGGAACAAAGAAAAATCAATACTTCTTACTATATGCTCAGTTGTTTTTATGGTTTTGAATATAATTAAATGGGCTAATTTTCCTGTCTCCAGCCCATACTTCATTCAGCAAAGCATCAACCTCTATTATACTGAGACGCTAACCTTTGAAAGAAGTTAGGAAGGATGGACTGGAGTTTGCCAGAGTAGCGAGGCTGCAGCTATTCTTCTAATATTTGTTCTCCTGTTTCTCAGTTGTAAGGAACTTTTGAGCTTTACAACAACATCCACTGCAGTGGCCATAACACTCTGGCCAATGTGAAGACAGTGCTGTGCACAGCTCCTGGCTGTGGCCTTGAAGGGAAGAACATGGCTTTTCCCCTTCCTGTGGGTCAGAATGAGATGGACGGTGGGAACCTGCAGATGATGGCAGCACTCAGGCATGCAGAGCAGTGAGTCGCAGGGCCTGGGTTCCTGCCACTGGGCAGCTGCTCGGCTAGCCCTGCACTGTGCCCAGGCACCTGGACTGTCACTGGAAGGAGAACAATTTCTATCTTGTTGAAGACAAATATTATTCAGGGTCTCTGTGACACCAATGAGACGTATAGGCTAAGTAATGAAGTTAAACGAATTTGGAGGTGGAGTTAGGGTAGTTGGTCAGTATTAGAAAAGGCAAAAAGAAATAACACGGTGGAGTCCTGTATGTCGGGCTCCATACCAGGTCATTTATATGCACCAATTTATTTTAATCCGCACAACTGCCTTATGAGGTATGCTTGATTCCATGCACATTATAGATAAGGAAACAGATATTCAAATGGAGTAAGCAACTTGCCCAAGATCATGCTATTGCCAGTAAGAGACAGGGCTGGAAATCTAATTAAGGTCCATGATCTTTTTAGCCCATTGTCATGCTCAGACCCCTAATACCTAAATGTCAGGCATGGTGGTAACTTTGCACTATCAGTCGTGTCTCATGAAGAGTGCTACGGGAGTATCCCAGCTTCCAAGAGAAGCACGGCACCTGTCTTTGGCTCTGATTGCAGGCTCTGGAGAGGTTGATGGTCTGACCCCAAATTGCAGAGCCCTCTAAAGAGCAGGACCCAGGGCCACTTGGCCCAGCCACTCATTCAAAGTCAGGGCACCGCTCCTCTCCTCTTGTAAAACTGAGCCCCTGCATCCATGCATTCATCAAATCCCAAAGCACCCATTATGCTCTGACAGCCACAGCAGTGAAAAGACAGGAGGCACTTCTTACAATCTGAGATTAAATGAGTAAATCCTCAGGGAACACAATAGCTATGGCTTTCATCTACATGGGAACATGAATAATTTCCTATCTCTAAAAGGCTTGGGATAACAAACTATTATGTTGTCTTCTGTTTTGCTTTGGAAAGAATGGGGCTACTTGGCCAATGAATAGATATCTGTAGGATATATTAAGCCAATTTGGACACAATAGTGGATACCAAGTGTAGCAGGATGTAATACATGGCAAAAATAGTTAAAGCATTACAAAAGCTTTATACATGGCCCAATTATCCAGGTTACATCCAAAAATTGAAGTTCTCCTCAAACAGCCCCAGTTGACCATGTCACTGAACATTTTGATTGTGAATAGTGGCCAAAAAAAGCACAAATGAAGGAAAGATGACTCAAGCATAATGTAACGAGCCTTTCAAAAAAATCTTCCTTGCCTTCTTGATTTTTCATTGTTTAGATTTTTTAAATCTTTAAAAGAGAAGATGTAAAATTCTCCTCTCGGGCTGGCCCCGTGGCTCACTCGGGAGAGTGTGGCACTGCTAGTGCCGAGGCCGTGGGTTCGGATCCTATATAGGGATGGCTGGTGCACTCACTGGCCAAGCGTGGTGCAGACCACACCATGCCGAAGGTTGCGATCCCCTTACCAGTCAAATAAATGAATGAATGAATGAATGAATGAATGAATGAATGAATACTCGGGAGAGTGTGGCACTGCTAGTGCCGAGGCCGTGGGTTCGGATCCTATATAGGGATGGCCGGTGCACTCACTGGCCAAGCGTGGTGCAGACCACACCACGCTGAAGGTTGCGATCCCCTTACCAGTCAAATAAATGAATGAATGAATGAATGAATGAATGAATGAATGAATAAATAAATAAATAAAGATTCTCCTCTTTATGATTAAACAGAACTGATATTAGGAGTTTTTATAGGGAGATGTGTTGATCAACAATCCATTATTTAATAGAAGGACTTTTTAAGACCCAATTCAAACCTCATTTCTGCCATAACCCTTTCTTAATTGTCCTCAAATGAGATTAAAACATCTTCTTTTGTGACTGCATGGTGCTTTGAATATGGGTACCCACAACATTTATTTATTGCTTCTCTGATTCCCAACAGTATAGCATGAATTTCTGGAAGGCAAGAACGGTGACTTTTATATCCTAAGTGCCTTTATTTATTTCTCAGTGCTTTTATTTATTACTCAGCACATAATAAATGCCTAGTAAACATTTGTGGAATGCATACATGCATGGCTTATATAGGAAAAGGAAATTGATATAGTTGGTTGGATTTAGTTTATGTGTGTGTACAGGTCCTAGAGGAGTGAGTCACTTTCCATGACAACAGTAAAAATAAAATCACTATAATACTACATAACAGGGAGTATTTTCCAAACCTCTTGCTTCAATTTCCCGAATGCATATGTCCACCACCATGGGCCTCTGAGTGTTGTGAGCCTTCACCAGTGTTGTGAGGTCACAGCAGTACACTTTCTTGATCCTCTTGAGATCAGGTTGGCAGTCATTGGGAACGTGCTTGGAACACTGCTTGTGTACGTTCAATCCACAGTCTGTAAACAAAGAAACTACATTAGCCTTGCCCAACTCTTTTGTCAAAGCCCAACACAAATTATATAATGCCAAAAAATGAAATTAACAACATGCAAGCATTTGATGCATTTCTCCGGAGCCTCCATCCCATTTAGAAGTGATACTCTCCGCGAGATGTGTATGAGATTCATTCTTACTCACTAAACTCTTACATGATTCCGTTTTCCTCATTACACCTTCTTTGTTGCTAGACTATAAGAGTAGAACATCTTACTGAGAAGGTTTAGGTAATTAGTCAGGTTCCTTGTGCATGTTTTTTCTTTTCGGCTGGAGCCCTTTGGGTCCACAAGTGGGCTTTTGGGTTTGATTCCCAGAGATAGTCATGACTCATACGGGGCACCTAGGACATTTGCTAGGTTGTTTCCCTTAAGTCCTTTATGCTCCTTTTATGGAAAATGTAGTTACTCTCTCTCTGTAGGAATCTCTTCCCCTTTCCTGGAGAGTTGCCCCAGAGTTTCCAATCCCTTCCTCCTTGTTGGGCACACTGAGCAGGCCATTTCTCTTTCTTCTTGCCTTATTTTGACACCTGTGAGTGGAAATAATGTCTAATTGTACACCAGTGGGAATACCTGATAGTTTATAATATATAACAATGCCTTGTAATATGATGATTAGAGTAATTATTTATAAAGCTCAGATCAAGATCCAAAGCTGAAAAGGTACTTTGAAGTTCAATGAACACATTAAAAGCCTTGTTAGCAGTTGGTATCCACTGATGGAATTTCTCTGACAGTAAAAAGGCACAGTCTATAGTCTGGAAAATAAAAATTTAATGCTGAAGTTGTTTGAAGTTGACATGTTGTCTACTCAAAGTATCTTCTAGTATTGTTTTTCTAGGTATAAAGAATAAAATTTTTTATTATATACTATGCACACACACAGTAAGGAATATTGCAGTCAACTGCTTTATAAAAAAGCACTTAATCAAACCCGGGATTTAAGAGGAACTAAACTTTTGTAAAATCATCAGTGGTAATTTCTAATGATTTTCATGGAATGCTTACTGGCTGAAACCTCTTTGTCTATCCTCCTTCCAAAGAAAAAACTACTTCAAATTCATCTTAGTTTTATCAACATGAGAAATTCAACAAAGCTCAAGTAAACTTCAGTAATATCATGATAGATCTACTTATTAGTAAATGTAAATTTTGGCTAACTGAACTATGTAGAATGGACTAGTTTTCTTGTTTGGATCCTCTTTTATAAACTAGAGATCCTAGTAGCACTTACCTCCTATGGTTATTATGAAGATCAAGTAAGTTAATAAAGTGCTCATGACAGTGTCTAAAATATACATAAGTGTTAGGTTAAATAAATAGCAAATTTGTTGACAGAAAATATAAGGACACCTGTCCAGCTATTTTTATTTCATTAGTAATTTTTACTATTTCTTACAAACTTCATTTAAATTTTTTTGGTAAATGGTGGTAAAATATACATAAAATTTATCATTTTAACAATTTTTAAGTGTACAGTTCAGTAGCATTAAGTACATTCACATTATTGTGCAACCATCACCACTATCCATCTATAGAAGTTTTTCATCTTCCAAAATAGAAACTTAGTAGTGCCCATTAACCAGTAACCCCCAATTTACCCTACCTCTGGCAACCACCATTCAACTTTCTGTCTCTATGAATTTGGCTACTCTAGGTACCTCATATAAGAGGAATCATGTGTTTGTCTTTTTGTGACTTGCTTATTTCACTTATAATGAGCTCATCCATGTTGTAGTGTGTGGCAGGATTTCCTTTATTTTTATTTTTATTTTTTAAGATACACCCTGAACTTGCTCACAGCTACGGAGAGGCAAGAGCTGGATTCCTTGTACCTTTGCCCCCATGGTCCAGGAATACGTGGATTTGCTTCCTATGAATATACCACATTTTGTTTATTCATTCATCTGTCAATGGACACCTACAGTGTATAATGCTGCTGTGAAAGTGATGGGGAGATAGTCTGCTCAAGATACTGCTTTTGGTTTTTTTGGGGTATATATGCAGATGTGGAACTGCTGTATCATATAGTGATTCTATTTTTAATTTTCTTAACTTTTTTAAAATCTGAAGCAACAATGTGTTTATCTATGTAGAGTTAAATATTTATATTTTATTAAAATTAAGATGTTTTATAACAAGTATAGAAATATTCAGTTTTTACAAACTAAGCTCCATAACTCCATATATTGCAAAAAAAGCCAAGTTTTTAAAAAACTATTTAAAATAAGAGAGCTGAGAGGCAATGGCAGCTCTTCTTAATTGTTAATAATCAGCTTTTAGCCTTCCTGCTACTCAGAGGAAATATAAGGAAAAAGAGTAGCCATTAGAAAATAGGAACAATGTAGACTCAGAATGTGTTTTACTTAAAACAAAGAAAACAAAACAAAACAGAAAAAAAAATCCCCAAATCCTTTTATCTCAGAGAAAGTTGCTGTTCACAGCTAATGTGAAGCCCAGAGTTTTCTTCTCATAATACTGACTTTGGACCAATTTCCTGGTGAAACTGGATAATACCAGCAATTAGGTATATTTTTGGTAGGTATAATTTGGACAGGCCAAATTGATGATCACTGAGTAATTCCGATATTCTGTCACTTCACTTGGTGGTTGAGCCGAGAGATACTTTGTGATTCTTGGCAATTCAGTCTTTTGTGTTAATCAAGGTGTCTCAACATTTCTGAAGAGGCTGCCCTGAGCCTATGTTTACCGCTTGTCTCATGGACCTGGGATGGGGGAGGCAGAGTTATCCACTCATGAGAACTGCTCGAACCATCTAGGTACCAGCACTGGTGATTGCTGTATCTACACAGCAGAAGCTAAGAAAGCCCCTTCCAGGCAGAGAAGAGACTTAAGGATGCACCATCCTGTGAACCAAAATGGCCAATATGGGAAAGAAGATCACCTCCGTGTAGGATCATCAGCTTATTTAATTTTAAATGCTTCATAAGAATTATTTTTAAAAAGCATACCTAGCAAGGAGGAAACCAGTCACGTGTTGGTAGAAACCTGATCAATAGCACAGGAGGCCGTTCTCAGTCTCAGCCACAGGTGTTTGCCAGCTAAATCACGGCAGGAAGAGTTAGGAAACCCAGTCACACTTTAATTTGGCAACTCTTTACCATTTTGTTAGATGAATCTTAATAAGATGTGTTATGTGCTGTCAGCAACAGTGTGTGCAACCAATTCTAGGTGGAAAAACACCTAGGCTTTCAAACTACTTTGACAGTATGTGACATCAAAGCGAGGTGTGTGGTTTCATGGCTAATCTCATGGCAGAAAAATAGTTGGCATGGGCTCTGGAGTCTGACTACCTTTGAATCAATATTCCATCACTTATCATGTGGGCAAGGGCAATGAACGATTATCTCTAAACCTGTTTCATCTTTTATTTAGAAAGGGGATAATTGCATCTCCCCCAATGTCTGTTGGCGAGGCTAAATGGCATGATAAATGGAAAATGTTTAGCCTGGTGCCTGGTATGTGGTAAATGCTCACCAGTGTTATCACTATTTTTATGTCCTGCCTTTTGTAGTAAGGTGGGATAGAAAGAAGTGTGGCTTTTCTATCTATGCAATTTCACAAGAATTGATTTTTTTTTTTTAAAGTCTACTGTGTATTTTGGGAGGCAGGTAGGTGCTTAAGAAAATGTACTTGCTTGGTTTTTTCTTTCCTTGCATAAACATGAGATATTCCTTTTCATTCTTGCAAACACGTAGTCTCTCCCTATTAAGCACACAGAGGCTCCCAACCCTCCAGAAAAGCTAGACTTTTGAGCTAATTTGGGGCATATTTCCCAGCTCTGGAGAGACGCCCTCCACCTCAAAACTGTGGCACTTTATTTAATTGGGAAAGGAGAGAGAAAGTTCTGTATCTACCTGAGCACCGGACCCCTTGGGCGATGAGCCCCCACATGAAGTTGGCACAGTATTCACACCAGTGTGGGCCTCGAAATGTGTGGACCTGTGATCCAAAAAGAAGGACAATGTCAGAAAATTCAGTCATCTGGAGGCAGGTGGCCTTGAACATGCAACTATCGATGCAGTTAAGAAGCAACAGCCTCAGCAGGAGCGATCCCTCCTGGGCCTTTTTCTCAGAGTGCAGCAGAGTTGCAAACAGAGCCCGAGAAAACAGAGATGTGCTTTGGTCTTTAAAAATCCTCCATCATCGATCCACCATGCCCTAGGCCAAAGTCAGAAAAGAATGTGGAGAAAGAGTAAGATTATACCATGCCATGAGCTAAGGAAGGACACTCTCACCACCCAACACAAGGCACTGTGTAGACAAACCCAAGATAGCCTGAGCTGTTCCCTGTAACCTGCATTTAACTTATCAAAAAGATTATACCATGCCATGAGCTAAGGAAGGACACTCTCACCACCCAACACAAGGCACTGTGCAGACAAACCCAAGATAGCCTGAGCTGTTCCCTGTAACCTGCATTTAACTTATCAAGTTCTGGAAGGCAGAATTCGAGTACTGCATCCTTTTGACTGAAGTTGCCCATCTGTAGAATATCCAGGCAGGTATAAGTTGGATATGATATGGGTAATTGAAAGGTTCCAAGGTTTTAAGCCACTTCCAAAAAAGGCATTTAAAAAAAGTGAAGGAGTTGGCAGAAAATAAAGGCTACCAATAGGGTTTCCAGTATTGTTTTCCCCAGAAATAGGGTCTATGTTTAGCAGGCCCTGGGGTGGCCTTTAGGTGAGTAAGTCGAAAATTCCAGCTGGTTGGCCAAAGTGCTGGTCTCAGTGGTAGGTACCCCAGACAGTTAAACATTCTGAATATCACAAAGTAAGGATGGTATTATCTCAGATCATTGAGGTACAGGTACTCCTGTAACAGGACCATGTATTAAGTCACAATTTAAAACAAAACAAGAATACTTGTTCTCTGGCATGAAAGAACTCCAAGAAGCAGAGTTAGGGAATTCCTTGTAAGAAAATGTGGCCATGGTCAGCCAAAAACAATCATAGGCAGTCTTTTGAGTGTGGGCATACAGACCTACATGAAAAGATTTGGAATTTTTACAAAATTAAAATATTATAAGACATTATATAAGGCCTTTTGAAGTTTTAAATCTCTGACAGATAGAAGAAATGCAGACTTTTTTTTTTTTTTTTTTAAACAGACTAGGAGGCTTGTATACTAGTTATATTTAACAAAAAATCAGAATGACAGGTATGGTCCCAATTTCGGGAGATGCTCATCTGAGTTCTACTTAAGGGGAAAAATAGCATCATTCTGAGTTCTTTCTTTATTCTTACACACTAATAACTGGGTATACGTACACAGGCAAACAAAACAGACCTGGGTCCTTCCTAATGGAACTCACAGATGAGTAAAAGCAGGGAAAGAAAGTAAGCAAATTAATAAGTCAAAAATAACAACCTATGACCATGGTTCCTATGCAATAAAGCTAAGTTATAATAGTCTTTTGGTATTTCAGATTATCATCTGTAATCTGCCCATTTTACAATTTCTGCTTTGAAAAATATTTCTCAGAATTGTTCTTACTTAAATGAAGAAGTGTGCAGCAAGGGAATGACCCTAAGACGTGACAAGGCACTCCTTGTAGGAATGCAGGGAATTCATCCCGGGAGCGCTTTCATAGGGCCAAATGCCGTGACTCATTTAGAGGCCCTCTTAGATCTAACGTGGTACTAAAAGAATTCCTCAGTAACGTGTCCTATTTAAAGCTGAACCTTTTCTAAATTCAGCCTCATTGGTTTCTTAATATTTTACTAGAAATGTTGTAAAGGTGCTGACTAACTATGGCAGGAAAGTCGATTATTAATATTTTGTTGAAATTGCAAGATCAATTAAATATAATAAACTGATATGTAAAATTCAACTCCAAAAAGAAAAAAAAAAAGTATAACAAGGGCTATAGAAGGAAAAAGAGACTAAAAGGGGCCCAGCATTATCCAGAACAGTCTTGGAAGGCAACCTGAGGAAGGGAAAAGCAAGTCCTGTGGGGGAAGGGTCAGGAACATTCCAGGCAGAAGGAACGTACAGAGGCCTTGCAGGAGCAAAACAGCTTGGCATGACCGAGGACCTGGACGGCCAGAGCAGCCAGAAGACCCAGAGTCGGGGGAGAGGAATTGGGATGAGTCTGAAGGTAGGAAAGGGAACGTCAAACAAGGCCTTGAAGACTTTATTTCTGAGTGTAGATTTGGGCTTTGAAGGATGGATAAGAGTTCATCAGACTGAGGAAGATTGAGCTGGTGGGTGATGGTGTTGACAAGGGAGCACGTGACGTGGAAAGGACATTCCAAGAAGAGGAAACTGCATAAATAACCAAAGGCCAATGAAGGTGGACCTGGTGTTTGAAAGGCATGCTTTTCTTGTAGATGGTGCAAAAAATGAATGATACAGCGTTCTTTTCTGAAACATCTTCAGTGGATAAAGTAACCTTGTGGGAAATATCTCCACATTTTGGGTAAAAATAAAAATGCAGTGTTTAGAAATTAGGAGAGAGGAGAAAAAATGGCGACGGGTCTGGAGCGCCCGCGTCAGGAAACAGCGCGA